GAAACATAAAGTTTCTATGTATTTTATGAAAGAAAGTCCATTAAAAAAAAAAGATATAATCATGAATGCTTGACGAGATTTATGAAAGAAAGTCCATTAAAAAAAAGACTTTAATAGACTTTCTTCTATACAAATAAATTTTAGGTTAAGGAGGTGAAATTCATATATGATTTGCCATTGTCCTAATGTCTTGTAGTTGTGACTTAATGTAAAAGGTTTTGAACCAATTGTCTTACCTTTAGGCAAAACTACTATTATCTTTAGATGGGTGCTGGTTGGTTTTTTGAACCCAAAATAGATTACGTATTTGTATATCCAATATAGTAAAAGATCATATATTCCTTGTAAGAGGAAAAATCTATTTTTTATTTCTTTTTTATCAATGCACTAAATTCAGGAGTTCCTAAAAGCAAGTCTTCAAAAGGACTAGTAAAGATTTATGGAAGCAAAAAGTTCTCCACTTCCTAGGTATAGGCCTCATGTTAAGGTTAGGTCATGCAAAGTGATAGTTTACATTTCATATTTGAACAGAAAGACATTGTTAGATTTTGAACAAAATAAGAAAATAATGGTGAATAATTTCTTGTTATGTTTGATGGTAATTCTAAATAATTGAATAACATTAAAGTTCTTTTGATGCTTTCATCATTCATTAAAGCTTTATTGCATCTTGTACACCATCTAATGTAATATGTAGTAGCGATGTTTAGCCATATTAGAGTTTTTTTTTTTTCATGTATAAAGATTTATATATTCTTCTTGTAGGGGAGTTCTTTGTTTCTTAATATCTAAAGTGAAGTGGTGGTCTTTTTTTATGGTTACTTTTTTCATAAAATAAATCAAGACATTTTGTATTCATGTCTCCTAATATAACACTTATGGCAAATAAATTGATGTTAGGAAAGTAGTCTATTGAATTTTGGTAACAAGAAATGATCATCATTTTTTATAGAACAAATCTTGAGACTACCATTTTTATCTCAAGAAGAAAAAAGGGTATTTCGAGTTGTTGGTTGAATTTTTACAATAAAATTTCTAAGTTTGTAAAAACAATTAGAGATATTTCAAGTGAAAGATAACAGTTGAGAATAGTTTATAAAACATTATGCCTAAAAGATAAAGCACTTTTTATTTTTAAATTAAATTGATTGGTTATAATGATTGAAATGTCATACATATTTTAAAATATGATTGATGCTTTTTTATGCTTAACAATGTCATATGTCATGTTATATTTTCTTGATTTAATTAATTGATTTCAAATATAGATATGATGAGGAAGTATTCCTTCATTTGTAAATTAAAAGAACATGAAATACATTATTTATATATAAAAAAATAAACATCCATGTATTGAACATATAAAAATAATGATTGTTCATAATAAACATGAGAAAAGAGCTGAAATTAACCAAGTGTAATAAAATTTACTATACTAAAAGAGTTTTTATTAACTAAAAATTTAAAGAGGCATTCGTCTACCAATCAACCAAGTAATTGCCATGATTAAGCAAGGGAAAATTTCTAACCATAGCAATTTGAAGACGTGTGGATAATTAGAAGTCCAAATTCTATTAAAAAAGAAAGTCCTTAATATAATAACTAATTACAAGTCAAAAGATTATCTTAAAATTCACATGATGCCAATAAAAAATAAAATTCAATTTGTATTAGGATTTAATAAAGTCTTATCACGTAATATCAATATTTGTATAAATTAGAACTCAAACTATGTATCATTATATAAAAGGCCACACAATCAATATGAATATAATCATATATATATATAATTATTTTAATTCCCACAACTTTTTTCTCTCATTCTTCTTAAACCTTTTTTTTTTTTATGTCACTTCAAAATAAATTAACTTTTTTAATGTTTCAAGTTCTTAGATTCCCACACTTTCCTTGGTTTTAAGATGTTGCTATATGTTTTCTTTTAAAATTAAGTATCTATTGTGTAATTTCTTTTTTTTTTAGAATGTAAAAATGTAACATATTGATCAAAAGAATATGTGAGTGATTAATAGGTATCAAAGCTAATCATAACCTAATATAGAAACTACGTATTAAGTAAATAAGTGTCACATATTTTTTAAGGGTGTGAGCCACCTTCAAAAATTGCACATGTCATCTTAAGAATCCTACACTTGCCAAGATTCAACTTATATTATGATCAAATATAAAAATCCAATACTTAAAGAAAAAGAAATTTATGTGGCCTTTATTTATGACTAATAAATTGAATAAGATATATAAAATGAATGACTAATAAATTTATGTGTAATAAATAATTTTATTTTATTTTTGTTTAGATAGTAAGATCCAATTAGTTGTTACACTTATAAATCAAAAACCCATTTAGATGCACAACAAACCACTCTAAATTTGAGATATTATAATAATATTATTAAACTATTTTAATTACCAACTCCACCATAATTTTAGCATCTACCGCTACCACCATTAAACCACCAAAATATTGTTGTCAACACCTTATATAGTTCCATTTCAACTATTACATGAAACATGATTTATCAAGCATGAAATTTTTGTTTCATGTAAAATAGTTTTTATTAGTTATTTGATCCGTGTTTTGTCACAGGCTAAATAGTTTCTAATGTTTTTTTTACAAAAAAATTTCTAATCATAAATTGAAAAGCCTATACATGTATTTAATTAAATAAATTAAGAACTATATGTGCCAATAAATCCAAAAAAAACTTTAACGTGTCAATTCGACTCTCCTCGTTATAGATAAATTTTTTTGTCTAATGTAGAGAATGAATATATAGGTGTTTTAACGTATTTTTTTACTTTAAGTAAAAACATAACTGTGAATCAAAAAGTCAATAATTATATATAATAAAATAATGTGTTGTCAACACCTTATATAGTTCCATTTCCACTATTGCATGAAACTTGATTTATCTAGCATGAGATTTTGGTTTTATGTAAAATAGTTTTTATTAGCTATTTGACCCGTGTTTTGTCATAGGCTAAATAAAGTTTTTTTTGAAAAAAGAAAATTAATACACAACCTTTTCCAATGTTTTTTTTACAAAAAAAATTCTAATCATAATTTGAAAAGCCTATACATGTATCTAATTAAATAAATCAAGAACTATATATGCCAATAAATCCAAAAAAAGCTTTAACGTGTCAATTCGACTCTCCTCATTATAGATAATATTTTTTTTGTCTAATGTAGAGAATGAACGTATAGGTGTTTTAACATATTTTTTTACTTTGAGTAAAAACATAACCGTGAATCAAAAAGTTAATAATTATATATAATAAAATAATATGAAAATCATATATGTTAATAAAGACTTGTAAGATCTCAAGTTAATTTTTAATGTTGTAGAAAAATAGAACAATGTTGCAATTGCTATAGTGAAATATCAATTTCTTTTAATTTTTATATAATAAATTTAAAAAATATATTAAGAAAGAAAAGGAAAAAGTTACAAAAGCAAATTACAAAGAATGGAGATAAGAACAAAAAAATAGTATAAATAGATCAAGTGTAGAATGATAAATATTTTAAATGTAAGAATAAAAAAATTATTATAAAATAAAAAATAATAATAAATAAACTAAATGTAAAATGATAAATATGCATAGCATAAAGAAAAAATAATTATATATATATATATGCGCCATTGTTACAGTACAACTATAACAAAAAAATTATAATTATATATTTTTTTACCATAATATCTTTTCCTTTCAAAAAAATGTTGGTTTTGATTGTAACATTATGTTTTTGAAAATAATTATAAATTTTTTTGTTTTAATTTAATTTTTTAATATTTTTATATTATTTTGATATGCTGATATTAAAAATAAAATTTAAAAATAAAAAAATATTATTTTTATATAAAAAATATTTTAAAAAAGCAATATTACAATTCTAAATAATATCTAAGTATATCTATAAAAAAAAAATTGAAGCTTCGGCAAAACAACAACAGCTACGACACTATTATTGGAATGCTACGCGCCATGAAGAGAAGTGATCCTGGCAGTGAATAAAAAGATCCAAGAATAACTGCGATATGGCTATAGGGCACGCTATTTATGGCACCTCTTCAACGGGGCGATCTTGGATTCTCTTCCCTTTTATGTAAAGTTTTTATTTCTCTCGAGCTGTCAAAGGCATCCACAAGTTCTTTGACCTTTTGCCTTATGGTGCTAATTAGACGGCAAGAACTAGTGCATGATAGCAAAATTAGTGGCGTCTTGAGCCAAAACAACCGATGCACATCATGTGATAATAATGTCTTACATATTCAGAATTTATAGAGTTAATTGGTTCGAATTAAAAAAAATACTTATTATGTATTGGGGTGTTGCAACAAGACCAACACAAGGTTGGGCAGTTCTGTTCTTTGTTTTGTGTTCGTGGCAGGCACCCCGATGGAGATTTGGTGGTCCCTAATGGCTACCAGCCGGAGACATTGCAGCTTGTGTTTGTAGGGCCTGGTTCTGATGGGATGGATGTGAAATTTTTCCATGTCTCAGGCGGTCTCTGTAAATGCATGCAAAGTGATTGTTGTGGTCTTCAGTCTTGCAGCCGGGAGAGAGACCAGGTTCTTAGTTTTTGCTGTATAATAGCCTGGTTTGGAACTAGAAAGTCGAAAGGGGAACACAATGTTTAAAGTTCTTGTCTTCACTACAGTTTAATTTGCTTGGACTTATCACCCTTGCTTTATCATTAGAAATTCAAGTCACCTTTATCAATTTTTCCAGTCCCACCGACACCTGCCTCCAAATTCGCTGATGTGTCTTTTATGTTATTTTAGCATCGACAAAATACTGAAGCAACCTTTTTTAAGTTTCTCGATAATGATAATGGAGGTTTGAAATTTTAAATCCTGCTTTTTGAACAACTAAACTCATTCTAACAAAGAACATGATCATCTTCCACCTCCTTTTAGTACAACGTTGTCAAAGCATCTAAGATAAAACATTAACACACGCGCACCCAAAAAAAAAAAGAAAACCAACACCACCATCGCATCCCTGTTCAAGACAATATTAACGCCTCTAATTTCTTGTTGCAATTTGCTAACCACCTACGTGCCTAGCTATTTTTGTCCTGTAAATAACTTCTTTGTATAGAGTTCTCAAATCTTTACTCATCTTGATTTACTATTTTTTAGTCATGCCATTTTTGGGGCTTGATGTGCCAATGCCCTGGTCATTACTTCCGTAATCGTTTCCATTATTATCATCTTCGTGCGTCGCACCCGGCAACGGGAAGAGACCCTAATTGCAGCTTCCGCCTCCATGGCCAAAATCACTGGTTAAGCCATCCGAGCATTTTGGACGAGGCACTGGAGGAATTCCTGCTACTTGAAGCCATCTGTGTTTGATTCATTGTTATTATTGTTAACACTTTGTTGCTGTTGACTTTCTCCTGTATTTGCACTCCACACCATGTCAGGCAATTCATCGGAGGCCTCACAGCCTGCTATGGCGAGCAGGGGCTGAGGAGATATCGATGATGAAGCACAAGAATTGCAATCCTCGCGAGTCGTCGGGGTCGAGTCTTCTGATGAACGTTTAGCTAGGTCACTAGCAATGAGTGTAGAGCTTGAGCAAATTCTCTTTACATCATACCTACTTATACCAAAATTTGTAACAGCACTGGCACCCCGAAATTTAATTGCTGCAATGTCGTAGGCCTCGGCAGCTTCCTCTTGTGTGCCTATATCGGAACAAGAGTTTAGACATATATCTGAGTTACGTTTCTAAGCAATAAAACCCCTAATGTGCATAAAAATAGCCTGAAAGTTAAGGCTGAATTGAAATGGTGTGACCAGAGAGGGTGTATTTTAGTGCATTTCGATGAGACATGTGCATTAACGTTAAAACCATGAGCTAAATAAATTAACACCATCGCAACAAAAAGGGATTGGAAGTTTTTAACACTAGGAATAAGAGGCCAAATAGCCATGTGCAAAACGTAGGATATGATATCATTAGAAAGGATACTGCACCATACACTAAATCTTGTATAGTAGAAAAATAAAGGAAAAAAGATAAAAAAAAAAAAAAAAAGAGTAACAAAGGCTTACTAAATGTTCCAAGGTACAAGTCCTTGTTTCCAGCAACCCTTCCAATTCTAGCTTGCCATCTTCCATGTTGATGATGCCTGCCAGGATAAAGGAAAGCAACTTAGCAAAAAAGGGGGCAAAAAGGAAAGATATGTGGGGGATTCATATTTAATATTATTATATAATAACTATTCACACTTGATACATGCACATGGTTAACCATGTCTGCCTATTATTGCCTATGATAATTGAGAAAAAGCCTGCTATTACAGTAAATAATGGAAAAGGATTTATCATTGAAGTCGCTTTTTGCCATTACCTTGTCACTCCTCTGTACACAGAAGCTCCTCTTGAAAACCCACTACTTTTCCTGTCAAAATTTGAACAAAGCAATCAATATTTCTCCGCTCTCGTCTCCTTTTCTTTTAACCAAGTATTATAAAATGGCAACTACCTTCTCAAATTGGCTACAAATTCTTGTCTGGTCATGTGCTCCATCTCTTCAAGCTCTTTTTCATAAGTTCCCACCTAACATTTAAAAAAGAAAAAAAAGAAAAAGATTATGATATTATTACATAAATGCAAATCTAATGGTGGAACCTTTTTTTCTCTCTACTTTTTTGAACACATCAACTTAGGGTGACCAACAGCCTTACAGGGAAATTAATATGCGTTGTTGGACCCCAATACTTCAAAGCAGCTAAATCATAAGCCCTTGCTGCCTTTTCCTCCTTATCATACCCACCTGATTTAAGATTTTAAACAAAAAGAATGACGCAGAAGAACAAGCACCACATTCAATGTATTTAATTAAGCAAACAAAAACATGTTAGTCAGCAATTAATAAATCCTACTCTTAGGTCCACAAATATGGACCATTTTGTATAATTAAAGAACATAATATATAAATAATATTGATATAAGATTTTCACCTACCAAGGTAAACTGCACAAGGGTTTGGGTGACATTGAGGGATGAATACCAAAAAGTGCAAGATAAAAAAAAAACTGTTAGTCTATTCTTTGTAAGAAAAGAAAAAAAGGAGGAGGACAAGATAGACGTCAACAATAGATAACTACAGAAAATATCAAAAGCTAAGTTCCTCTCACCTTGCCTTCCTTTCCTTGTTTGTCCTTCTTTCCTGCAACTATTATCCCACAAATGGGCCTCATATCTCCCAGTCCATCTATGCCTAACAATCATAGAACACTCAAACAGATAATTGCATCTATATGGTAAAACAAAGTTTTTGTTTTTGATAATTATGGTGAAGAAAAGTTTAAATTATGGAAGATGTTCCTACGACTTAATAAAGAAAACTGAAAGAAATTCTGAGTACCTTGTTACACCTCTATATCTTGAGGTTCTTTGTCCAAACGTCTCAATAGATTTACGAGAAACTGGTTCTTTAGCAAGTGATTTTGCAACTGGCCTTGTACTGTTATCGACCACTTGCCAGGGAGATATAGCAACTAATCCATTTTGAGAACTAGGACTCACTGTGAGTGATAATGATTGAAAATTGCAATTGTTTGCTTCATTTGGAGACTCCCCACTAGAAGAAAATGGTGTAGACGTCTGCCTAAGCCAGGACTTGAACCCAGAAAAAGAACTAGCACTCTCAAAGGGCACATGGTACATGCCAGTTTCTTGGTTATGGTTATGGTTGTTGCTATGGCTATGGCTATGGCTAGGGTTTGGATCACAGTGCTGAAGGCTGTCACTAGGGATTAAGGTTTGCGCATTGTCATTGAAATGGTAACTTTGGATGAAAGAAGAATGGCTTGTGAGACTATTCTTCCCAGTTTCTATATCTTTATTAGTGTTGAAGCTAGGTGCTATATTGGCATTGATTCCATGGGCATGGTTTTGATTAATGTGGTGATCTTCTTGCTGACAGTGTACTTCGGTCTCATCAGAAGGTGAGTTTGAGTAACACCCCAAGAAATCCTCAAGCTTTGGACCATCTTCACTTAATCTGCCTTCATCCATATCGGTTTCATATCTCCAGTCTACAAATCACAATCAAATAAGGTGGAATATTACAGTAAAATCGTCATAATTCATGTTCAAGTTTTCATTAAAAAAAAATGCACTGAGAAGGAAAGAAAAAAGGGGCATGTAGTACCTGGGGTACCATTAGATGGCCGTCTAAAGGGATCAGCAACACAAAGAGATTCATCAGATAGCAAAGGCATGACAGAGAAACTAGCAGCTTGATCTTCTCTACCAAAGTCTTCACCAACTCTCAAGTGCGGACTCAGAGAAAACCCCAACCAATTACTCATGTGATCTTTACACGCAAAAAACTACCAGCGATTTCTCTCTCACACACACACAAACAATCCCAAAACCTCTGTTGTTCAAAGCTTGTCCCTCCTTTTCATTTGTTCCTTTGTTTCACCGTGACTTATGGTTTTGGTTTGGTTTTAAAGCTCAAACTTCAAAACATTTTGGTGAGCAGTGCTCTCTCTCTCTCTCTCTCTCTCTCACTCTCTCTCATCTTATGTTCTCTGTGTAAGCTGTTTCGCCAAGGAAGCTTTGGGTTTCGTGCCCTCTCTTTCATTTCCTCTCAGTCCTTCTGCAGAGGTGGACAGGAGTCCCATGACATACACATAGACATGAAATTTATTTATTGGATGCAAGTGTGGCCAAATTTTATGCTCGTTTATTCCGTAAAATTGAGCTCTTTTCGTAGCTTTTTTTCTTACTTTTCACACTTAAAGGATGGGTGTTCTAAAAGTTGTACCGTTATTTGTATATCCCCCCCTTTTTCATGGCAAAAGTACCGTTATTTGTATATCCCCCCCTTTTTAATGGCAAAATAAAAAGAAAAAAGGAAAAAAAAGAAGAAAACACTTGCTGTAAACCAGTTTTTACCATGTCATCTAGATCAATCTTTAGCATTTCTCTCGACATTAATTGGTACATCATTGGGCATTTAAAAACATCAATATACCATTTGCTCTCTCTCTCTATAAAGATGATAGAACATAAAATAAAAGAAATATGTAGATTTATTTCTAAAATTTATTAGATAATGACTGATTCGGAGCTCAATTTGTGCATTATTATCATTGTCTAAAGGGAGCTATTGTGAGGACATCATGGAATTCAATAATTCGCAGAGAAGGTTTTGGGTTTAGTTATTTTGATATAAAAAAATTATGATGTTTAGAAAATAACTAATTATATTTTATGAGTTAATTTTTAGAATATACTTTGAAGAAAAAAATACAAAAAAAAAAGAGAATATAAGAATATTTCCATTCAATACCTCTCTTATAGATGTATATCTTTATTTCTTTTTAAATGGGTCCTAGAGAGTAATTAATAGGATGTCATTAATTATCCATTGAGTACCATAAAATTATTTATGTGTAAACCATTCCTTGATAATTAATTTTTGAATTGAATGTTAATTTTTTTATATAAAAAATTTAAGTTTAATTTATAGAGGATTTTCATGCTCATGAATCCTATACATATATGGTTGGACCTCGCCATTAAAAGAAAATGACTTCATAAAAAGATTATTGAATATAAAAGCAAGATTGGAGAGGGTTCATGGAAAAGAGAAAACCAGTGATATAAGATATAATAAAAAGCCTTTAATGGTATGATAAAAAGTGTTGAAGCATATTTAAATGTAAAAACAACCTAGCCTGATTGATTTAAGACATGTATGTCTCTAATATATTTATTGAAAATTTTGAAGAAACGTGTAGGTACGAGAGTTCTTTAAAAGCATTTGAATAAAGTAGTGTTTTATATTATCAATGCCTTAGATATATAGGTAGAATTTATTACAAAAAAATGATCCGAGGGGAGGAGTAGGCAATATTATGTCATGGTAGATAAAGAAGGGTAGAACTATTTTTATAGGGTTATGAATATATCGTACTAGAATGAAAGGTAGTGATTTGGGGTTTAGGTTCAATAACAGAGTTCAATTCTTATTTTTAGAATATAAGTATTGGACTCGAAATGATAGTACATGATGAATTTAGATTTTAACTTATTTTTCTTCATTATATCCAAATTAAATTTAAAGGCAACCACTCAAACACAATGAGCTTAATATGGTCATATTCACCTAGCCAAAGTTCATTCACCACAAAAGAGGTTTTATATGCACTGAAACCAAAATATTTATAAATAAGCATTTTTACACATTAAAGAAATTCAAGCAAAAATCAATTAATATTTATAGACAAAGATAAAATCTATGAAGTGTTTTATTTTTTTTAACTCAAATGAAGGTAACTCACTGATATGATAGCAGTTTACTATATATGAATAAGTGAACCAAAAACCAGTATTGTTAAGGATTCCTTCAACTTCTGAATTCAAATTCACATTTAGAAAATAATATATATATATATATATATATATATATATGTGTGTGTGTGTGTGTGAAACATATTCAATATTTTTCAATTTACGAGGGAAAGGATCCATTTAAGAATCACAAAATAATCAAAAATACTTTTTTTTGTTACATGAAAATAAAACCATCAACATTATAGGATCCATTTAATGATCATACTGTCACTGATTAGTACTTAAAAGTGTATTTTTATCATGGTTTTATATCATTATTTTGCACTTGAAGTATCAATAACTCCTTAACTAAAGCATGTTTATAATAATATATCTAATAATATAAGATACCTTTAATTTATGGTAAATGTTCATTTTAAATGCAGGCCTATCACATAAATGAAAGGATTGATTGATGAATTTAAGAACTTAAA